CACACACACACGCACACATACTCTCACACATACTCTCACACAAACTCTCACACACACACACACACACACACACACAGTCATTTAACACCTGCCTCTGTCTTTCTGTGATGCCGGATATCAAGTTGTTGAAATCAGCAAGCAACGCAACTGTGTGGCCTGTGATTTTGGTAAGAAGCAGATGCTCAGAAACACAGCTGTGGCCGATCGTTCAGCCTTTTAATAATGTTTAACCTCCATCATCAAAACCTCATCACTCCACTCAACAGCAGCACCGCCAATTAAACATTTAAAACGCTACGGGCCAAAAACACAGCGGGAATGCTAATCAGCCCAAGCCTAAACAAGTGTGGCGAACGGTCTCATAAAGCCGGGAAACTTCAGTTTAGACTCAAATGCACTGAAGAGCAAGAAGAAAACGGCAGCTCTCGCTCGCGTAAACTTTCAAGAGAAGTGTGACTAATAACACCGAGCTCTTGACGTATTTTAAAACACGCCTTGTTGCAATAGGTGGCCAAATATATGAGAACAAATTAATGTTAATGTAAAGTCATGATTCCAATATATATATATATATATATACAGTATATTAGGGCTGTCATCGTTAACTCGTTAATGCATGCGATTAATTTTACAATCCTTAACGCATTAAAATAATTTAACGCGGTTAACGCAAAATTACTGAAGCACAATTTCTATTCTAACCCTTTAACCCAATTTTGCTTCTCAGCTTGTGATTAGATCATTTTAAGCCGCTAAACTCTGGGAAAGTTTTCAGTCCAATGATCCAGCAAGCGAATGCATTCAAACAATCCGTCCAAAACAGAACTGTGTTACATCAAACCAATCAACGGGAGTCTGGATGAAGATGACTCAAACCATAATAAAAACCCCACTGGTCTGATGACTCTACAGCACTGACAGAAAAACAATGACCTTTCCTGGGACAGTCACTAAATCCGGCAGGCCTGAGACAGAGAGTGACCACTAAACTAGCAGCTGAAACATGGCCTGAATTCATGTTTTACTTGGCAACCTCACACGGAGCAAGAACCTCCTGCGTGATGTCACGGGACTCCTGATTGGCCGCTCCAGGCCTGATGCTTCCTTAAATGTCATGACATCATGAGAGCATGTGGTTGTAAATAATCTCTAAACAAAAGAAATGCAGAGTAAATATGGAAGGGATTTGATCTTTCCATCACATCCCCTTCTCCAGTCCTACTAACTCTGACTGAAAAAAACATTTGCTCAGTTCAACAAAGAGTGATTCAGTATCAAAAAACCTGTCTGTTTTCTCGCCCTTCTTTTCGTACTTTGACACTCTTTGCTAGTTTATCGTCGAGCTTTTCACTCGGCGGCGGCCAGCGAGGGTTTGCTCATTTGTTTGTTCCCATGGGAACCTTCCAGTCAACAGCAGGCATGTTCAAATAGGGAAGGATGGCCTTTCCAAAGCTCAACTACAACCTTTATATGAGAGAAATCAGCAGAGAAATGCAACCCACATTTTAAATAAATAAACAGTGTAGTGATTTAAATATGTACTATCTTCAGGTTCAAATCAAACAAATCAAAGACACTTAAAGCTACAAGAGACAACATCATTTTAATCAAAAGATCAAAACTACTATACATGTAAATCTCATGAAAAAAGTGAATTTTTTATTTAATATTAGGGCTGTCATCATTAACGCGTTAACGCATGTGATTAATTTTACAATCCTTAATGCGTTAAAATAATTTAACGCAATTAACGCAAAATTACTGAAGCATAATTTCTGTTCTAACCCTTTAACCCAATTTTGCTACTCTGCTTGGCGATTAGATTTTAAGCCGCTAAACTCGGGGAAAGTTTTCAGTCCAATGATCCAGCAAGCGAATGCAGTCAAACAATCCGTCCAAAACAGCGCTAATATAAAGGAAACCAGGCTGATTATATCAGAGATTGCAGAGAGAACAGAGACTCGCGTTGCGTTTTCAGTGAATTATCCATTCCAGTGTGTTTCGCTTTAAAACAGGAGCTCTGTCATATTCTGTGATTGTCTCTGAAGAGCGTGAGCCCTGACACGTCGCGCTGTGTGAAGTACAGACTGAACGGATTGTCAACACATCCCACCACTGTACGACCAGATGAGACGCAAACTACGGTTTCTCGACAGGATAACCAGTCTCGCTAGTAAAGTTTTGATGGATGAAGACTGCAATCAAGGTAAAGACGATTGCGGTGGCGTACAGGAGTCGTACAGTAAGCACGCGTGAGTCTGTTATAATAATGCGTGTATGAGTGCTCTTGACGCACTGATCACACATTGTATTTATGCACAGGCACACACATTTCTGTACATTCACATTGTTTCCACACACATTCACGAATGTTTTGATTTTCGCCATGTTTATGTTGCTGTGTTTAGTTATTCTGAATGGATCCGTGTACTGTAGTAGATATATGCAGTCAGCAGGCGATTGGTTTAGGTTTTTTTTTTTTGGGGCATCTCCATGTGGTCCTGTTCGGTATCGCAACTTGACTTCTCTAAAATATAAAAAAAGCTCTTTGCTGTTGCACTGTACACATACTATAAAATTATTATT